ATATAATTAAATATTTACCTAGATTTTTATTTTATACTTATTTTTATTTTATTCTATGTTTTTACAAAAAATGCATTAACGTTTATTATTATTATGTATATTATAAATAATTAAAGTATTATACATGTTTTGATATTAACCTGCTTCAATTATGTAAAAATCAATCTATCAAAAAATTAAAAATATCACTTTCTTTGAAAATGCATTATTTTCCACATCTCCCGGTATCATGTAGTTATACCATGTGTGCGCGCATTTAAGTTTCTATTCATTATATAATACATTAAAAATGAATTATATATTTTTTGATGGAAAGAGAGAGAGTATCTTTTCTTTCAAAATTATTCTCCCACGTTTAAAACAATCACAAAGTCAAATCGCGAAAAGGCCTCTTTCCTTTTCAAAGTCATTATCGTACCATTATCGTGCGTGAGTCGTCTCTTCTTTTTCACGGAGAGAGAAGAAGAGCGTGAGGAGGGGGGGAGGCGATCGACTGTATAGCATTTGTTAAGAACTATTTCCGCCCCCTGGCAGGCTGTTATTCTAATGCGACGTACCCCTCTTCCTCCCTCGGGATGCATTCGTCACAGGGGCCGGCGCATAAATTTGAATGTACGGCCCCCTAGTTCTCGCGGGACATGGAATCGACGGATCCTTCGAAATTAATGGACACCCCTAGCAGACCCCCCGTAGCATCAAATGAGCAACGCCCTCACGCGCGCACGTTCGCGTTGTTGGATGTTCCCCGACCCCCTTTGATCGTGATTCCTCATATGTATGAATGGAAGAGATAGCGACCACACCTGGTGATTTTCCATAGTATTCTCTCCTAGTAAAATCTCTCCCTCGATATCCAAAGATTTATCGATATTCTATCCGATTTCCGGCTGTGATCGGTACTCTTTTTGGACTGGGTGTATGCATAAAATGCACATGAGATTCTGTCGCATGACTTTCTTACTTTTTTTTTTTAAATATTAAAGTAATATAGAAAATATTTAAATAAAACACAAATTCAGTTTCTAAAAAATTTTGACTTTTTGACGCAGTATTTTCAAGGAATTTGTGTTATAATATTAAAAAGTTTTGAAAATAAGCTATTATATTGAATAATTTTCGCGTGAATTGTGTGTGATTACACAAAAACCACGAAAATTTACTTCACGGATAAATTTTACATTAATCAAACTTGATAATAGGCATAAATTATTTGTAGCTATTTTGTTGAAAAATTGTTGAAATATTATATCTTGGTTTTATGTTCTATATTCAGGTTTTTAGAAATAGAGAAGAGAGAGAATACACATATAATATTATTCAGATTATTTTTAAAATTATTTCAGGCGTTGTACGTGATTAGACTAGAAATAAGAAATGTTGCATGTGGGTGTTTTTTTTTTTGGAATTTCTCCCGAAGCGATTATCACACGCGTTATCTCGTGTCGATAACTCGCCGAAAGCCCATTAGAACTTTTAAAATGTAAGATGACGAGAGCACGATTAAGGCGAATCTTAATTACCTTCTCACACTGTGTGTTCTCATCTCTCCCAACATTCCAGCATTTGTCGTCGGTGGTGAAATTTCGTAGACACGACGATTGGCACTGTGCAGTCTTGATGATCTCTCCGAGATCTAAGCTTGCTATCAAGGGCACGCTCATACAAAATAACAGTCCCAACAGGGAGTACACGGTTCTCATTTTGGAGAATCAAAAAGAGTCTCGTTGCCCCCGCACTTTTCTCACCACACAATATTAATTATTTATACGCGTAACGTTTTTTCTTAATTATAAAAACACCCTAATAATTTGCGAGCGAATCGATCGTGAATGGTGCCGGTGAGGCATGAAGGCTACGAACGTTGATTCCACGGACGGAATTTCGGGCGCGACTGCGGCCCTTCGGGGTTCGGAACCCTCCTTATATAGCCGTGCGTCCCCCACTACGTGTTCCTCGGATTTTTGTGAGTCCCCACCCTTACCGTTAAAAGCATCCCTTGTAATTATACGTCCTTCCGTGGCGTACGGTTTGCCCTCCAGGTTTCAATTCTGACCGAATTATTCGACCTATGTGAAATGTAGGCCAGTTTATAGAAGAAATCGCGATGTGGCAAATTTACAATTCAGATTAAAATATTTCTCTAAAAAAACATTTTTTTTTAGTTGAATAATGAGTGATTTTATAAATAACGACGTGAAGATAAATGAATATGAATATGAATATAAAGTAAAATAATATTGAATAATGAATAATAATTACTACATACATATAATAATATGTACGTGTGATTAAATAATAATAAGAATTGAAGAGATAAATTTCTGCAGTGAGATGCGAGATTGATCAAGTCTCTCAAAAATTTCAGAAATTAATTATAGTAGCTGCCATAAATGATAGGAAAATTACTTATTATTCGATATAATTAATGTAGAATCATAAATGTGTCTATATGGAATAATCACTAACAATTTTATTTGATTGATGTACTGATTTTGAAATCGAAAATGATTGATAATATGTTTTAGGGTATTTATTTTGATTATTTTTTCTTCAACTTTCCCGTAACGGTTTCCCGGTATAATGACGATGCCAAAAAAAAAGAATTAATGAAAGATCATTAATTTTCTGAACAACCAAGTTTCGTTTTCCTTAGTCCTTTATAATTGAAAATATATAGCATGCAGTGTGAAATCAGCTCATTGTAGAAATAGAAAGAGAGAAGAAAGAGCGAAAAAGAAAGAAAAACATTCTAAAATTATACATACGTATTCTATAAATACGTAAAAAGGACAATTAGAATTTTAATTATTATTAAATTTTACATTGTCATAAGAGAAAAAGAAGAAAGCCACAAAACGATTTCACGAATGGCTAAGGACAAAATTTAATTTGTCCTGCGAGCAGAGTCAATTTCGATCCGTGTTCAAGCGTCGCCAAATGGCCAGGTTTCCTTTTTTTTTTTCGTTGCGGTAGAAAAGTGGTTAGCCGAAAATAAGATGGCGTTTCGGACCATGTGCCGCGCGGGGACTTCGCCTCGTGGGCCATATGAACCGCGGATAATTATGATGAGCCACAGAGAGTGCGGTCGTAATGCGAGAGTGTAGCGAAACGTTCGTTACATTATCGCGATGCTCTGTACAACTCGTCTCATTTCGTCGAACGAGTCCGTGTATAAGATTGATGGACCGTCAAATTTTCTTTAACGAAAAAAACATTGTTTTTGGAGAGAAACAATTTTCAATTTTATGCGTTTTAATTTCTTATACGATCGTGTTCACGAAACTTATGAGGAGACACAGTCAGATGTCTCGTCTATCCAGTATCCGGGTTTTATACTTCCACCGCAGAGAACTACGATGTAAAAAGGATCTATAGCGAGAATCCTTGAGCGGAAAAGATGCACTGCGGATCAAATGATTGATCCACCCATCGAAGCTTGATATTATTTTTAAAAATTCCTCTCCTCTCCATCTTTCCCCGCCCATCCTTAGAATCGAGAAAGAAAAATAAAGGACGTGGAATACGGAGGGAGGAGAAAGGGACGGCAAATAGAGATGGGCCTTACTCTGTCGTCCACCGGAAGCCGGGGCCTGGGTGCTCCGCGCTACGTCACAATACACAGGATGTGTACAAATAAGGGTATTTGTCCTCGGCGGCTGATTGTGGGGTGAAATATACGTGACGTTAGAAACGCGAGAGAATGCAATAGAGCAGGATGGGGAGGGGTTACTGCATCCCTCGCGCGCTTGTGCCCGGGCGCAACATAGAGAAAATAGGGGTCTCGATCCATTCATCTAGGCGGAATAGTTTAGGGATGGTGCTCACGGATCGCGGAGGCTGCTCCAATGGATGCGAGAGAATGACGTTTCATTGTGTGCCGCGCTTTTCTCACATCTGGACCAGCGTGGCTTAACTTTGCTTCGCTTCGCTCGATAGGCGCTCTCAGAGTGATGTGGAAGCGCAATATTTCAGCGCTTAATCTGCTCCGATATAAAGCTTGAAGCGTTGATATAATAGAGAATAATTATGTCACTAAGACTTATCAATTTTTAGCGTCGTGTAAAAACTTGTGACCAATATTGGGAAAAATATTACACTTTTTAATCTGTTGTATTTGTTTTTCCCACATTATATAAATTTCTCTTAAGCTATTTTTATATTTTATCATTTTTTTGAATGTTTATTATATCTTCATTCTCAGAGAATTTTCTGAAAATATTCCCATAGAAATCGAAAAAACTATTTCTTTAGAAGAAATTCAACATAGGATAAAATATTGTTCTGAAATCTGTGGAATATTCGACACAAAATAATTGTGGTTTTTGGTTTGGATTTTCTTATATCATTCTCATATTTTTCTCCTAGTCTTATTTGCGTTTTTATCCGTTATCAATGTTTTGTTTATCTTTTTTTTGTTTTCTCGTAAAACATGCGGCTTTGTCGGTTTTTATTTTGTTTGACGATGTTCGAGACTTTCGCCGCAGTATTCATCTTCTGAGTCGAAGATTTTCCTCTTCTCGTCGTAGGTACAAGATGTTTTCCTAGGATCCGGTAATCTTAGTTGCATATATTCCTTCCGACCGGCGTACTTGTTCATGTCTTTTTTCACGAAAGAGTAGTTATCGCATTGTCACATCTCGTATTTTTACGAGTTTTGTTTCTTATGTGCTTCGATTCTTTATCGATCCTGTAAATCCGGAGGAGAAAAAGGAAAAGGACACGAGGGATTACAAAGGTCCCGCGATTTTCCGTGAGATTGCGTCCATTTTCCAGAACTTAGTCGGAAAGCCTCGTCGCCGATCGAGATTTAGATTCTATCTGCGACTCATATTTTATCGCGGTCGTTTTTCTCCGCACGCGTTTTGTTTCGTATTCCGGCACTGCAAGAGACTTCATTGTTCGAAATATAGCATTGTATCGCTTTGTAAAATTGGACAATTTTCACGACAAATATTTCGAAGAGCGCGAAAAATATCTAGAGAAAAAGATTTACCTTTAGTTCAATATCTAACACGAATTATATAAAAATCATTGGAAACATTGAAAACATTTCATGAAACAATTTTGAAGAAATCATTTTAAAAATGATTAGATTACATTATTTTTAATATAATCTTTTTCTTATAGGAATTTTTTTACACACAAAAAAAATTATATATTATATGTAATATAAATTATGCAAAATTAATGTCAATCGATAAAACTTTTCTTAAGAAAATCTTAACACACGTTAAATTGTTTATTAGAAAATAAAACTTACGATTTGTTTTTCCATTGGATTCGTGATGTATCATTCTCGAAAATCGATTAATCTTCCGCAAATTCTTCAAATTTGCTTCCAGGAGTATCTCAGGCGAAACATGTTTCTCATCATTCACCGAATGATTCGAAAGACTGGTCGTCGACTAAGGAGACTAACAAAGCGGAAAATACCGACCGCTATCGAAAGCGACGGCGATGTTTTTGAAAGGCAGTTTTCGCGTCAAATGTTGCGGCGACAAATTTTCATTGTGACCGCGTCGCTTCCCCTCGTTTCTCGCGTTTGTGCCGCGAAGCGGAATAAGCAGCGGCACAGACATTTCTTTAAACGACAGGTGATGGTAGAAGTCGCTATTGAGGGGGTTTCGGGATCTCACCTCCTTCCCCGGAGGAGAATGCTAACGGTGACCGGCACAGCTATACATATACATCTGACAAATTCTCGAAAGGCAGAATTTATAGCCCGTCCGACTACCGGCGGGTCATCTCCGGGTCAGAGTATGGTGGTTGGAGAGTTTACGACTTTGTCCAGCGGGGAAATGGACTTTCTGCCTTTCTTCATGCAGCTTCTATTTTCTCATGCATTTCATTGTAAACGCGCTATATTACGGTATATTACTGCAGGCGGTGATGTTATTCAGTTTTCGAGCCTTTTGCTTTCGAGATCATACTGGCACACGTTCTTCGTGGCATAAGGGAAAGGGAGACAGATATTTTTGATCCCAGTTTTTAGTCATCCGAATTTTCGAATCGATGTTGAGATATATTAAATATTGAATATATAATATTAAAGATAAAATTTATTATTTTTATTATTTTATTATTTTAATTTATTATTTTAATTTATCATTTCAAACTCATACGTTAATTCAAATAAAATCGCTATTTTGAGCAATCTTCGTTTTTTTACTATGAAAGAAAAGATTCTAAAAATTAATAGCTTGAAAATTTAAGTCTCTTCATATCTTTTACGATACATACTTTTCTCTATAAAACATTCTTTATGTTATCAAATTTCCGAAGCTTTCTTTGTTTTTCCCGGAAGTTATGCTTGGTCGCTTTTTAAGAAAGATTAGGAAGGAATTTTTTCGCTTCATGTATTATGTAAAATTTTATATTGAGGTTGTTCGATTTATAGTTTCGAAAGTACGGATTTTTCGAAAGTTTAGATGCGGTGATTTCGAAAACGAACCATCACTAAAAAAGTCTCGACATCAGTTACTTTAGTTCATCTTTTTTTCGGGAAAGAAAGATTTATACGTTTTGGTTCTTTTTTTCAGGGTCTCGTTTACGCCATTGTCGCGAACTGTTATTTCAGTTTGTGTCCTTTTTCCTCGTCATTGTGACGAAGCGGTTGTTAGCCTATTTACCGCGGCGCCATACCGACAACGGTCAAACGCATAGTCTTTATAGTTGCGCTTTCGAAATAGCATTTCTGCGACAGTGCCGAAATATTATTAGAAGTGCCTCTATAGAATTTTATTATTAATTATGGAAAAAATAAGTACATAAGAAATTTTTGTACATAAGAAAGTTTTTTTGGACGAAATCTTTTGAAATAAATTAAAAAGGAATTAAAACAATATATTCTAAAACTTATTAAAAAATATTAATTTAAAATTAAATGTGTGTATTATACATATACTATATTCATTTAAAAGTATCAAAGATATAAATGATACGCAATATTTTATTATATATTTAAAATGTTGAT